GGGGAGGTTTGTTGCACAGTGAAGACGAACTGAAGGACACAGGTCGGCGATCTTGATCGTTTACACCTAGCCTCCGTTTGATTGCTCAGAATGTCCTTTGTCTATTCTGCCGTGCCTGTTTTAAACTATTTTAAGAGTCACCCGCATGTATGTTTAGTTTCACACACATAAAAATTAGTGTCATATCATATCACGATTCTGAAGAATAATGTCATGATTTCTTAGCCACTACAGCCATGGAATCATATATTCCCCATCTGTGTGATGGTGTCGAGGTACGTAACCTTAATAAGTCACAACTTCTTCATATGTAATGTGGAGGCCATCAGAACAATGCCAATCTCATAGTGTTAGTTGTGAGGATGAATGGAGGCCAGGCATACACAGTGCTCAGCACAGCACCTGTCATAACTGTTATCATCACTATTGTTAATGTTATAGTATACCTTCTTGTGTCATTGTTGTTGCTGTTAGATGCCATTGAGTCAGTTGAGATCCATAGTCACCGTATGCACAACAGAAGGAAACATTGCCCGGTCCTGTGCCAGCTTCACCATCGTTCCTCTGTTTGAGTGCCTTCTTTTTTGTTGCCCCTCTACCCAAATGATTTCTTCTCCAGGCACTCGTCTCTCCTGACAACATGTCCAAACTACCTAAGACGAAGTCTTGGCATCCTTGCCTCTAAGGAGCACTCTGGCCGTACTTCTTCCAAGACAGATTGGTTTGTCCCCTTAGCAGTCCATGGTACTTTCAGAATTCTCCTTCCTCAATGTTCAATGTTCACATGGCATATGAGGCCATTGAACACACCATGGCTTGGGTCCGGTGCATCTTAGTCCTCAAAGTAGCATCATTAATTATATTTAATTAATTTTTTTCCAGTGGCAGCTTCAAATTCCACGGTGTGCAATATAGTTGAACATTCTGTTGTTGAAGGTTGCGTTTTTCTTTCAGTAATAGACAATGCTTTCCAAAATATCTTTTCACCTTAGTGTTGGCCCCGCTTTCTGGTTATTTCCTTAGGAAAGATTCCCAGAAATTAAAAGACTGGATTGGAGGCCATATTCCTGAGAAAGATCCTGAACTCAAAGTGTAGACTTGAAAAGACTCTCCAAATGTGTGCACGCTCATGTGTTATCATTATTTTCTTATACAGTGATTCATGCAGCTTCTTTCATTTCTACTTCTAGCTCAATCCACTTTTTTTTTTTCAATCCACTTTTCTCCCTTTCACCACACCTTAGATTAAAAAAAGTACTCCGCTATACTTTGTTCCTGACTGTTTCGAGCGATAAACTCTGAATGGTACATCGTAACTAGTAACCTCTGGAAACAAGTAGCCGTCTCTTTATACATGGATTCTACTTGATAACATCTGTGTTTCATAGGTTGTAATACTTTGGAGGGATTAGAAGTCTGGCTTTGTCCCAGGGTGGTTTTCTTGAGACATGTGGTAACAGCCCATGAGAATGATCAAGAAAAACACCTCTAAGAAAGCATACCTTCA